ACACACACACACACACACACACACACACACACACACACACACACACACACAACTTCCATAGCAAACATAACAACACACAACAAGACCTCGCTAGACTGCCCGTTCAGGCGGATATACGCAGCTAGGGTCAGGACTGTACTAGCAGTCATGCGATTGGGTATCCATGGCTGAGTGGGTGTGTAGAGTGCGTTTTATGGCTGTGTCGCACTAGTTTCTCAGACATACTGCCATTCTTGTCAGGGGTTTGGACAGACTCTCTGCTAGGATTACATGGTTGGTGCGGGTGAAGTCTCTACCACTTTTCTCAGCGGCATCGCTAACTCTGCGCGGCGTGGTAAGTCCTTATCCATCAGTAAAATGCATCCTGGGCAGAGTGTCGGGGTTCAACCTCATGATGAATCGGTGAAAGTCCGACAAAACAGTCTGGCACAGTCATGCTTTTCCTGTGGAGTTGTGTAGAGCGAACACGATATTAACAGAAGCCGCCTCCTGGTGAGTAGGTGAAAGTCTGACAAAACAGTCTGGGGCGGTCATGCTTTTCTTTGCAGAGCTGTGTATAGCGAACATGACAACGCACACACGGGCATGCAGAAGCGTTCCTCGCTTCTGCACAAACTGGTATATAAGTCAGCGATCCCCGAAGGGGATGGCCCTGTGGGACTCAGCAAAAAAACAAAACTGGTGCAGAGCAGCAGTGGGGTATAATGCAAACTCTGATCAGATCCTGAATACGAGGACAAGATTGGCATATCCAATTTGACATCCAATCCAGCTATGCATTTGCGACTTCAGCAATTCCATTTAGGATTCAATTTCAGCATAATTTCAAATTTCAGCATTCAAATTTCAGCATTCAAATTTCAGCATTCAAATTCAGCACTCAAATTCAGCATTCAAATTCAGCACTCAAATTCAGCATTCAAATTTCAGCATTCAAATTTCAGCATTCAAATTCAGCACTCAAATTCAGCATTCTGCGAGGATCAGGGTCCTCGGTAGGCCTATGGGCCCCTGTTTGCAGCATTACCCGCCCCAAGTGAAGGCGGAGGTGCCCGCCCTAAGTGAAGGCGGGCCTGGCTTTTTGCAAGAGGCCCTCGAC